TTATATATTAATGTGATATTATCACATGTTAGCATATCGTGATATTTATCCAGCTGTATTGATTTGCTTTAAAATAAAATAAAAGATCTGTTTAGGCAAATTAAAAACAAACTCTGCTTATATAACATGGTACATTCTCTTATTGGATGGTTCCAGGAAATGACTAATGAACTGGTTTAAATGTTATTTTATTTAAAATTACATAAGAATAGATCTTAATTACCTAGGAGGTCTAGCCAGCATTGAAAGGGTTATTCAGTTGATCTAACTGTTAGCCAGGGTTTTATGGCCCTTCGCTGTGAAAAGCTTTGCTTTCTATGTCTGTAAGGATACCTCATAAATCGTGTAAGTCTTGACAGAAAATGCTGTTTAACCATTGAAACGTGTATAGCCATTCCTTTGTATTGCATACCATTTTATACTGGATATTCATTGATTATTGTCACGCATGTTACTTATTATTATTAATTATTGGTTATTATAAATAAATCTATTTTTTATAATAAATTATGATTTTATTTATATGAAATACTTTTCACTTAACACGATAATGATCTTTGGGATCTGAGAATTGAATTAGTGGGCAATTCTCACTGTTTACTATTATTATCCCATAAATATCCCCACAATAGAATGCACTGCCTGGAATGAAACGGAGTGTAGAATGCACTGCTAGGAATGAATGGGGAATAGAATGCACTGCCACACATGATTGTTAGATAGAATGCACTGCCAGGAATGTATGGGGAGTTAGAATGCACTGCCAGGAATGAATGGGAGGGTAGAATGCACTGCCAGAAATGATTGTGGGATAGAATGAACTGCCACAAATAAATGGGAGGATAGAATGCACTGCCAGGAATGAAAGAGTGTAAAATGCACTGCCAGGAATGAATGGGGAATAGAATGCACTGCCACACATGATTGTTAGATAGAATGCACTGCCACAAATGAATGGGGAGTTAGAATGCACTACCAGGAATACATGGGAGGGTAGAATGCACTGCCAGTAATAAACGGGGGATATAATACACTGCCAGGAATGAATGGGGGGGAGGGGGGCTACAATACACTGCCAGGAATGAATGGGGGAATAGAATGCACAGCCACAAATGAAAGAGAGGGTAGAATGCACTGCCACGAATGAATGGGAGGGTAGAATGCACTGCCAGGGAATGAAGGGTAGGGTAGAATGCACTGCCACAAATGAATGGGGATAGAATACACTGCCAGGAATTAATGTGGAGTAGAATACACTGCCAGGAATGAATGGGGGGATAGAATGCACTGTCACAAATGAAAGAGAGGGTAGAATGCACTGCCCGGAATGAATGGGGTGTGGGGGCAGAATACACTGCCAGGAATGAATGGGGGGATAGAATGCACGGCCACAAATGGAAGGGAGGGTAGAATACGCTGCCAGGAATGAATGGGAGGATAGAATGCACAGCCACAAATGGGAGGGTAGAATGCACTGCCAAGAATGAAGGGGAGGGTAGAATGCACTGCCAGGAATGAAGGGGAGGGTAGAATGCACTGCCAGGAATGAATGGAGGGGGTAGAATACACTGCCAGGAATGAATGGGGGGATAGAATGCACTGTCTCAAATGAAAAGGATGGTAGAATGCACGGTCACGAATTAATGGGAGGATGGAATGCACTGCCAGGAATGACTGGAGGGTGGGGTAGAATGCACTGCCAGGAATGAATGGGAGGGTAGAATGCATTGCCAGGAATGACTGGGGGGTGGGGTAGAATACACTGCCAGGAATGAATGGGGGTGAGGGGAGGGGGTAGAATACACTGCCAGGAATGAATGGGGGTGGGGGGGGTAGAATACACTGCCAGAAATTAATGGGGGATAGAGTGCACTGCCAGGAATGAATGGGGGATAGAGTGTACTGCCAGGAATGAATGGGGGATAGCATACACTGCAAGAATGAATCTTGGGATAGAATCAGTGCCAGGAATGTATTGGAGGATAGAATATTCAGCAATACTGACATAAATGTAGAGACAAATAAAGGTTAGCGTCGAGTCAGGAGAATAATGGACACCAAAGGTGCAAGAGAGTCTGCTACAGGGTACTGAACTGAAGTTACATATATTTCACCCCCAAGAGATTTCCCAGGGCCTGTTAGTATCACATATGGCGGTTAGCATATGTTTGGTTTTTAGATTTCAATTGCAACATTGAAAATGGCTAGCTCAGGTTTCATTGAAGGAGAGGGGGCTGGGTTGGGGGAGCACATCTCAAGCCATTGCACTAAAAGGGATAGTTTAGTAATAAGTACACAGGTTTCTCATGCTTAGTGAAGGTTCAGGTCTGGGTAAATATATATTTGTAGAAGTGATTGAGAGAAGGCATAACACGGTTTGGTGCACAGATGCAAATGTATATGCATTTCGTTATATTTTCTCTTGCTACAAACAGCAGCCGAGCACATTGAATGGATTTTATTTTCACTATCCCAGCGGCTCCTGGGGCTGAATAATTTAGAGACTGGAGGGTCTTTTTAACCATCCGGCTTCTCTGCAGGTAATACTAAACGACAAAACTCCAAATACATTTTTTATCTGGTTTCTCCCAATGGTTATAAATCTACTTTGTCAGCTGTTTTTTTTGTTGTTGTTTTTTTAACCAGATGACCAGACTTTCTGCTCGTATACATTATATACAAACACCCCACCCCAATCTTGGGACACAGAAGAGCATTTCCTTGCTGGTACTGCAACCTTTGCAAAAACCTCTCCAATTACACTTCACTTACTGTTATAGAGCGCCCTCTGCTGCTCAATTCGTGGTTTAGTAGTCCAATAGTTCACCATGTATAAAGAGGGGCACACCAGAGTTTGCTTGAAAGCATTTGAAAGACTGTTTACATGCTGTTAGGTGTATGCAATAAACTCTCTGCTCTATTGCAAATCATCCATAAGGAGCCAAACCTACCAATAAAACCAACATGGAATCTAGCCTAGATGTGCATTCTGAGTTGACTTGAAACACACACGCAAACTTATCCACTAGTGTACCGGTCAACTAGACATCTTCTTAGTCATTTTTTAGACAAAAGTCTACATAACATCCTTTGAGCATGTCAGCAGA